AGAAATGTCCGGTTCCCGAGGGATACGTAGCTTTTTGTAATTTATATAGTTCGTATGTTTACTAATACCACGCGGACAAAGTCGCGGGCAACAGCTCGTTGCTAAATAAAATCAATTTAGTGATGTCTATCTTATCGACATCGCTTAGATAAAGGTGACGCCAGATATTAGTGATGTGCACACGTTTCTCGATACTCTCCCCCCTACACGCATGACTGAACTAAGTAATCCCGACGGTTCGTAAAACTATAAGAAATTCGCAGAACACACGCCTCATTAGCTAGCAAATGAGTACGGGTTTGTTCTTTTTTTAACCGAGATATTTGCACTATCTCTGTTTAATTGTGAGCTTGAAGACAGAGATGTTTAACAAGGCTCTAATTATTTGTCGGTAGTCGGTGTTTATTCTAGTTGAAAGTCAAGTTTCAAACCTTTTTTGTTTTTGTGTCAGGTTTTATCTTTTGATCTTACTAATATTATAGATTTTTTTTATAATATAAGGTAGCAATCGAGCAAACGGCCACATGAATCCGCCAAAATGGCGAAGCGACCGCTGCCCACAGACATCCGCAATAGCAGATGCGTTGCCTACCCTTATCCGACGGAGGAGGAGACGCACATAAAGAGGATATTTCCCCTTGCTATGCATCTCCTCCACTGTCCAATCCACTTCCCCTTCCCATTCTCTCCTTATCAGAAAAGGGTGGTAAGGAGTAAGGGACTTAAATTAGGCCTCCGGCACCATACTCATCAGACGAAACACGGAATTACTTTCACTTCACGCCTGCCTTCTGTGTGGTCGTGGTATTACTGGGGGCGTGCCGGCCCATTCGTGCTAAGATGTTACAGCGGGCACTACCACTGTAAAATGCGAAAGATGCGAAAGATTAGATAGATGTTTGTTAGAGTTTGCCTAAATTGCTGAACGTATTTCGATGAAAGGCATAGATTAAGAGCAAAGTTTAGAACACATAGACTACTTTTAATTTTGTAATTCCACGCGAAAAAGTAGCGGGCGAAAGATAGTGATGTCAATATTTATTGAATTCAGTTTAAGTAACTAAATAATATTAAGTGCTAGCTTTAACTCCGACTGCACCCGCGTTGAATTAAGAAAAACAAAAGTAACTAACTAGCCTATATGGCAAATTTCATCGAAATCCGTTCAGCAGATTAGGCTACAAACTCTAACAAACATCTCAAACAAACGACTTGCGGGCAGACAGATGAACATTTAAATGCGACTTACGCTATGAACATCGCAAATACATTTCTTTCGATATTACAGACACTCCTATCCATACTATTATAATAAAGCGTAAACACACACTTCTTTGTTGCCTAAGATGTCCGCAATCACACCATATTTTTGAATAATCATTTTCTTAATAAAAAGCCCTACACTTGCGTCACGCTTTAAGCTATATATTTTCACGCCATTAAACCTAGGGGCTAAACATTTTGGATATAAACCCTAATGTGGGAATGAAACCGTAAGTTGCTAACATCAAGGAAGCAAGGTTGTCATCATGTCATGTCATTTTGACATTTGCTATTGATAATTTGACAAATGTAAAGAATAAAATAAAATTTTCATAATTTCATGCGGATGATGTCGCATTGGAACAGCTAGTTTTATTACTTGTGAAGATAGATAATTGACATATTCTAACCATGTTGTCAACGCCCACTAAGATAAGTGACGGTGACACACGTGTCACAAGTGCGTCAACAAGTGATAATCATGACACATGGGACTTTGTCATTAGTAATATGGAGATATACGGAAGGGTATAAACAAGATATAAGGTAGAGCCCGCTTTAACATCTTCGCACGAATGGGTCGTCTCGCCCGGTGTACCACACAGAAGACAGATGTGAAGTGGAGGCAATGCCGTACAGTCTGATAAGTAGAGGTAGCCTAATTTTAGTCCCTCTTCTTAAAGGGAGAGGATGGGAAAGTAGATTTGCCGGCGGAGGAGACGCATAGAAAGGGGAAATATCTTATTTATATGCATTTACTTTTCCGTCAATTAAGGGTAGGCAATGCATTTGCAATTGCGGATGTCTATGGTCAGTCGCTTCGCCATTTCGGCGGAATCAGGTGGCCGCTTGCTTGTTTGCCACCTAATCATACTAATCATACTAATCATACTAATCATACCAATGTTATAAATGTAAAGTTCATATGAATGGATGTTTGTTAGAGTTTGTAGCCTAAACGGCTGAACAGATTTCGATCAAATTTGGTACAGATGTAGAAGATAGTCTGGAAGAACACATAGGCTACTTT